ACCACCACCACCACCACCAAAAAAGAAACAAAAACGACGTAGCAAAAAATAGTAGTAGCAACCTCGTAGTTGCAGTACTAGTAAGATCTAGCTGCACATGCAGCCCTGAGAGAGCAGTGCAAAAACAGCAGCTTTGCAGTCCTGAGTTCAATGACCATTCCCGTGATAACGCAAATCCTTGCTGAATGTTCGGCACATCGACGTGACGCCCTTGCAACCACTGCCTTGCATGTTCTGCAGTGTGGATGTGCGCCGCCGTCAGATTTGCAAAAACCTTCAGGCCCTTCACGATTCCGGTGGATGCCACCTTCCCATACTGGAAAACCATGATCTTCCGTCTTCCGGGCTTGCCAGGCTCCCAGTACCTGATCATCTCCCTCCAGTTTTCATCCGTTAAACAAGATGGAAAGCACCGGAAGGGTGAGCACATGTTCGTTGAGTTCCAACAGCCAGGTTCCAGAGGGTTGCTGACAAACATCTCGGTCCATGGTGCGCGACCAAACTCACCAGCATACAGTGGATGTTTGCAATCCTGTATATCTTCTGGAAGGTGGAAAAGCCCGCCACGCTGGCAGTTTTCTTCGCTGAAGCGTCCCCGCCAGGCATCACTGTCTCCAAGCTTGGCCACCGCGCTTCCTGCCCCGGAATTCAAAAGTTGCGTCAAGAAAAAGACACTGCTCATTGTCAGCAAAACAGTTGCTGCTAGCACATGGCGAAGGAAGCGCATTCTGCACAAGCGAAAGATTTACTTCTCCTACATACAGAGAATCACAGCCCTGAGCCCTGAAACATCGTAAATGGTAGGCCTTGCCTTCTGCTACGTGTCCCGTTTCCTGTTCATGTCGGACTGCTTCCGCCCTTTTTCTGCTTGGGCCTGTCATGAAAGCTACATGGATTGTACAATCACGCATATCATGATGCCGCAGTTTTGTTCGGGATTTCAAGGCAATCTATTGGCTCGAGGTTCTCTGTTTCTAGACAATCTTACCCTGTACCGGAATCGCGTGATTGCAATGTACATGGTCTTTGGGCTGATCGGTAGTCATTTGAGAGCGGCGTTCGGGAGCAAGGCGGCATTGGCTACTACGATGGTGATTCTCCCAATCGCTTGCCAGGCAGAAAGAAAGGCATCCTGAGGGGTCATTATGACACGCCTCCCGTCATCCCAACTCTCCGCGAACTAAAAACCGTCTCAAAACTGTTGTCCGGTCTATCGCCATGCATGGGCAAGTGTCCGAATAGGGACTCATGTTTAAGCTGTCACCCGGACTACCTCACAGGGTCTCCCAAACTTGCGAGCAGCGCTGCTGTGCCAACTTGAGCTTAATTAGAGAGCATCATCCAGTCTCCGAACACAAACATTATTATGCATTTCTGGCTTATGGTATAGTACATGAGTGTCGTTCCGGCACCATTTCGGTAAGCTTCTCTCTTGACTACCAATACCCAACAAGGAAGGATGTAGAGGTCCCATTACATTGGGCTGGGGGCTTGTACGGTGCAGCACGGCTCACTCAAACACCACAGTACTTTGGAATTTGCCTTGGAGCTCTGCATGGAAGACCTCGACAGCACGTAATTAGGGTTTAAGTAGGTTGCAGTTTGGGTGTTCTCTCTCCCCTACTAGTTGCTTGGCAGAAGCTGCAACTATAAGCAGGATTGAAGGAGCTCTTGTTTGCGCAGGAGTTCTGTCTTGCATGATTGCGATACAGTCTAAACCCCCACGGATCCTTCCCATAGCCTCGCGCACGCCGCAGAACTGAACATGTCAGAAAAAGTAATAGGCAAAACACACTGGGAGCCAGATTTCATGCTAGTGGCTGGGGGATGATTTAGGGAAAGCGATGATGACTGCGCGCCCACCTTCAGGTCCTGTTTTCCCAAGCCGCTTAATGAAAAGGCCCTTGGCATATGGGATTTCAACAGATGGGCCCTTGCTGTGACCTTGATCGTGAAGACTTTCAGGCAAGTCTAAACAGGAGCTGAATGTTGAGAGATCCCAAAAGTTAATAAGAACACTTCAGACCAAGTTTTGCAAAATCATAATCATCTTCCCTCAGAGGATGGGTTGACACAAAGGCTGGGAGAAATCTTGAGAACTTTGTTCAGAATAGGATTGAGGGTCTCGGGCCTACTCGTGCTTAAGGAGGGAGGGGAGGAGTAAGTGAAGCCATTCCAATAGGGGGCCGTGGCGTGTCGCAAACCCTGAACCTAATCCCCAAACTGCGTGAGTCCAACCCCCCCACTCCCGCCTCACCCTCCCCAGATTTATAGCCACCTTTTACAAGGACGCTACTTGGAGGGTCAGGGAGACTTAGAAAGAATACTCATAACCCCTATAAGCTCTATAATACGACCCCTTATTAACCACCTTCCAAGTAGCCTTTATGAGTTTGAGCGAGAGTAAGCATCTGCACTGTAATCCCCCTAGACCTATATTGAAAATCTTGCCTCCAATAGCTCCCTAGGGTTGTACTGTAATCCTAAAAAAACCAAGCCCTACAATAAGTCCTAAGCAGACTGCAGGGCAACGGTATGTGGGATATACATCACCAATCTGATCTTAAACTTTCGTTGCCTGGGATTTTTGAGTCTGTCTGTACACTAAGTGTTTAGGGCTTAGGTGTCTTGGGTCTAGGCTTTAGATTTTTGCTGCTAGCGGAGTTGCTGCGATTGACTACATTGGGTACGGGTATGACTGCTTGTCCTACTACTCCTACCCTGTGATTTGTACATCGCCAGATCTGACTTTTGCTGTCTCAGCTTACCTTGCAACGCCTTAATACTTAACGCCTTGGGACAAGACAGATAGCCTAAATACTACGGCCTAAGCCACCTGCATTATGTCTGAAATCCCTCCTAGGGCACACATGTTCAAACTGCTTCCATGATCTGGTAGAATGGTATACGGTTAGGCACTGTGCAGCAACAGGCAGCATACCATAGGTGCCCCATCATGTACGAGAAGATATTCACGTAGATCCCCGCCAGACACGAAGGAAGCAGAGAATCCACGCACACAGGGCTTGGGGTTCAGGGTCTAAATTCAGGGTTTAGGGGGTTAGGGTTGAGGGTTCAGGGTTTGTAGGTTTATTTTTTGGGGTTCAGGGTTTCGAATTCAGGCTTTGGGAGCTTGGGTTTTGCGGTTCAGAGCTGTGTCGTTTAGGTCCACAGGATTGAGATAGCGTGCGGGGCCTTGACGAAGAATCAGCTGCATGAGTAGGCAGAAAAGATATTGGGCCCTGATCGACTTCATTTTGCTCAGCCACACCTCTGCATCGTAATGGATCTTCAACCGTCAGCTGGATACGCAACATGACTTAAAGCTGCATCCAAGGCTGCGGAAAACCCCTTCCAGATCAACCTCCATGAAGTCACTCATCTCTGCGGACGCATCTCGCACGAGGACATGGAAATATTTGACTCATGAAGCACTGCCTTCCAAACTCCAGTATGTTGCTAAGCGAACTTTGCCATTGCCCAGCTGACATCCGCGAACATTGAAAACCCCGTCCCAAACAAGAATCGCTGAGTTGAAGAGACGGTGCTGATCTTGGAAGGTCGCAGTTTTGCCCTTCATGGTACCATTGAGCTCGACGATCTCAATGGGAATGCTGTGATGTCGTATGGCGTTGGAGGCAGGCTGAAGGACATGCCTGGAGTGCTCTTCAGTATGTAGACGCCCCTGACCTGCTGGCCGGTACCCGCACTTCATGCACAGCTATTGTTGGATTGTGAGAAGGCTGTACACGCAGAACATGTACCCTCAAATGATTGAACAATGCAGCAATGCGAAGTCCATGCGGGGACTTGATACCGTGCTGAGGGACCACCACAAACAGAGCTCCGGCGCATATGACCGCATCAGGTTTCACAAACGTTGTTCTTCGGTGTAAGTCTGGATCAAACCAGGCCAATAAAGGCTCAATCTTGCCTTCCTTATCCAACTCCAGTACGATCTGTGCCTCAGGGTATGATGCGCTCATCCACACAAGCACTGGCAACAAATCATGTAGAACATGGCCGTACTGAAAGTTTCCGAAGGCAAACCCTCGAAAAAAATGCCACTTCATGTGGCAGATGCAGAGAAGAAGTCTGCAGATCAGTGGTTGAAAGAGGTACCAAGCACTACGTTTTATGCCAGGTTTCGAGACAGACAGGCGCACTTGCCAATCACCAAAGCCGCTGGGCTTGGGATATGAGAACCTTCCAGAAGCCAGCTTTTCCACAACGAAGGTTTCGTTGACAGTCCTGTGCAGCACAGGTAATGCTATACTCCTTGCATCCGCATAGACATTTCGGTTTGATGAATCATTAACATCATGCCCCATGTACAAAGCAGCCTTGCCAACAGCATCTCTGGGCAAGCAACTGTTCCTGTGAAAGGTGCACATAGGGTTCGTCACCATCTCTGATTCCACGTCCAATGACAACATCAATGCCAGGTTCAGCAACATTGCGAGGCCGGCTGCAGTCGTGCACAATACGCACCGCTGAGACACCATTGCAGCCGCGCTGAGATTGGATGGCAGAACCTATACTTTCTCACAGATCATGGCAGCACCTCCATGACATATCTTCTTTAGCATATGTTTATACTCATATCCAATTTTCTTATCTTGCATGAACGTGAGCAGGAGATCAATCCCAACCTTCATTTCCCCGCTTGGAGCTCTTCCTGAGTCTTTGCAAAGGTTGGGGCAAGAAGACATGTCAACAACATGCGACAACAAACAAGCAACACTGCTCAGTTGAGTTTCGGGATTTATTTGGGCTCGATTTGGTAGGTTCCCAAAATAGGGGGACCCCAAAAAAGACTCCAAAATACTATAGTCCTTATTATGGAGACTCCCAAAAAAGTATCCCTAATTTTGGGAAACCACCCATTTCTTTCAGGAGGACTATATCCCCAATATATACCCTATTATAATATAGTAGTTTCCATTTCCTTTTCCATTATCCCTATATAACCCCCAAAAGTAGGTCTACTTAAGGGAACTAATTTCCTTCATTTGGGGAGCATGGGCCTCGTGCTGTGCTTTTGCCTTCAAGCTGAGCTATAGTCTAAACTCCTAGTATCCCCCTTAATAACCCCTATAGTAGTCCCTTATATCCGCCGACCCCGAAGCGGGG